AACCACAAACACACAATCACAAACACACACTCACAAGAATAACCACAAACACAAGCACAACCACACAACCACAAACACACAATCACAAACACACAATCGCAAACACATAGCCTCAAACACAATCACAAACACACACACACAACCCAAACACACAACCACAAACACGCAACCACAATCAACCACAATCAACCGCAAACATATCCACAAACACAATCACAACCACAACACACAAACACACAACCACAAACACAAACACTATCACGAACACACAATCACAACCACAACCGTAACCACAACCACACCACAAACACACAATCAGAAGCACAACCACAAACACAATCACAGACAGACAACCACAACACACGACCACACAAACGCAACCACAAAAACAACCGCAAGCACACAACCGCAACAATATACTTACCTGTGTGTGGCATTTTGTGTGGCAGGTGGTCGCAGGGTAGCACTTTTGGATGAGCACATGATTGAAATGTCATGGGGATCACTCGAAGTATATAAACTGTTTTTTAGTTAATCAACAGTCAAGATTATGAAGGACGCTACGAACGGGGCTCCTGGCCTTACTCAAATGATCGAAGCTAAGCATCCCCAGAAGGACGGATGAGATTCGCCAAGCATTAGAAACAAGAAGCTACTAGGAACAAGTGCATCGCTACTAGTAACAAGTGCCTTACTATTAGTAGCTTCTTGTTACTACTAGTAAGGCACTGGCTACTAGAAGCGATGCACTTGTTCCTAGTAGCTTCTTGTTTCTAATGCTTCCATTACTTCCTTGAAGCAAACATCATTGGTGCAGTGTCCCACGTTTTGAGCTGCAAGACCTCCTTCCAGATGCCACTGCCACGAGACCCCAAACCACCGAGGACCCCTCCATTGTGCTTCTGTTGGTCCGTTGGGTACAGAGCCCGTCTGACGTGGCAGAACTCGTCGTTGCACTTGGCAGAACGCACGTTTGGCTCTATAAGGAGTCGCTTCGCTCCACCTGTCGTAGGAACATGAAGGAACAACAGTTTTATATGACAAGCCGGAAATCCAGTCACTAGTTTCTAGATGGCCCGTGTGGTGCCCAAAACTGAAGACAGTTTTAGCATGCCTCGGCATGCCGATTTGCACTGAAACAAGTTCAGTGTCTTCAGTGTCGATTTGCACAGCGCGATGGACCTTTTCATCTTCGTGCTTTGGGCGAGCGCGGTGGGTGCATTGAGCGAATCCTGGATGACCGATGGCCCTACAGACCACACCAGGTTGCAGATCGGCTCACACGAAGTCAAAAGAGAATGGATGATGAATGACCTCAAGGCGCACGAACCATGTCCAAAACCGGATCAAGAATTGATTGGTGCATGAATCCTCACTTTTCTTGGTGCGCGCGCGTGAACCCGGAAGCGCAGCAAAGAGATGATGGGAGGAGCTGTGAGTTTGACAGATCGCTTTTCGCGCCCATTGCGGCCAACCGAAAAAAGGATGGAAAAGAATCCCATGGGCTTCCAGCAATGGCCTCCAATCTAATTAGCGATGGCCTCTCACCTCCGATCTTATTGCTTAGCGGCTAAGCCACCTGGTAGCAAGGGCAGCGCCACGGGCTCGTCCACCTAGGCTCGTCCACCTTTTGCTGGGCCCTGCCAGGCGAAGCTAAGAGCTCTTGATGGTGGTGTTTGCCCCAAGAGTTTACCTGCACATGGAATCGGCGCGGACTTTGACTATGGCATCGGCTGTGCATTTGTGGAGAAGAACTTGGCCGGAGCGGAGGGGAAGGCCAATTCGGCGGGTTGAAACACAGGTTGTTGCTTATAACATGAGAAACACACTACAACCTCCAACCCCTGTCGCTGTCCATTTTCAAGAGATGAAACGGAAGAAACCGCACTTGTCGCTGTCCCAGCGTTCCATCTCAGGGCTGTCGCTGTCCCAGCGTTCTGGACGTCTGCGCCACCGAGCCGCGTTTCCGCAGTGTTCGCCAGCTGGATCCCATGGCCGACCGGACCGTCCCAGTCTTCGGGTATTGTCGCACAGGCGCGCAGCGATGACACCGCGCCTTGGGCCCTCCGAGCAGGGAACACTCAGGTCACCCCAGTCATCAACAGTTACCGCTACCACCACGATAACAACAACACCAACAACAACCACAGCAACAACAACAACCACAGGGACTCATGCTGGCTGATGGTTCATGGCTTTTCCAGGCCAAAAGTTTTGCACATGAATGTTGTGCCCCTGCGTGCCATTGCTACAGGTGCCTGGGTCTTTGCTCTCGGTGGCATGCTGCTTCTGGGAGCATTGGGAGGCACAGCAGTGCTGCTGAAGAGGAGAAGCCGTGTAGATGTCTCCAGAAGAGAAGCAGGACACACCCCAGCCAAAGCTGCTGTGGCTTAGCAAAAAGA